CCCCAATACATCCCCCGGAGCTGCAAGTCGATAAATAATACCTACCCTGGGCCCTGAAGTCGATCATCGCCACCTACATTGTGCTATTTGGAGCCTTCGGGATGGAAAAGTGTGAAAAATGAAGCGATTTTGTTTTGAGAGCATGGTCTGCTTCTCAGAGTTAGGGAGGGTTGAAGGATGGGGGCGTGCACTTGCAGTTTTGTCGCGGCTTATGTCCCTTCAGCCCGTTTAAAGCGCCCTACACCCAAACATCAGTCAATCAAAATACCCTAAACCCTAAACCCTGAATGCATGAATCCATGCCCTTGTTACCTTGTTACCCTTATAAACCCCAAACCCTAAACCAAGGTGCGACGGTGTCACCCTGCACAGAGGCAGCTGCCTTCGGGGTGTCAGGTTTAGGTTTTGGGATAAGGGTTTGGGGTCTACTTTAGGGTTTAGGGTTTAGGGGTTTAGGGTTTAAGGGTCAGGGGAATTGAGTAAGTAGGTTAATAACCCCCTGTAACCCATACAAAACACCTGCTTAGCCCCATTGTCAATTAACTTACTTAGTCCCCCTGACCCTCCAAGTACGTTTTGGCCTTTGGATTTCAGGGTTGGGGCTCAAGGTTATAAGGTTGAAGACACCTGGCGGAGAGTTGAGTGGGGCCATGGTATCCGCAACTAGTTCCCCCTCTACCCCGAACCCTAAACCAATAAACCCTTAAACCCTAAACCCCTAAACCCTGATCCCTAAACCATAAACCCTGTACCCTAAACCCTAAACTTGAGGGAATTATTGGTGGCACTATATAGAACTCTACACAAATAGTTTTGAGAACCTCGCACGTGGGGTTGGGGGACTTGAACAACACTGAGCCTTGCGGCTTAGGGTTTAAGGTTTAGGGTTTTCATTAATCAGCAGTCGGCTCATTCTTAAACTGCTACTCTTCCATCGCTCACTGGGTCTTAGCAGGGAAAAAAGGAATCTATATAGGGATCGTATGCCCTTATTCCCTACTATCCCTAAACCCCAAACTCGAAACCCTGTATATTCCGCAATTCCCTGCTGAGAGCCAGTCAGATTGATGGTGCTTCCGGCCCAAACACTAAACCCTAAACCTTAAATCCTAAATCCTAAACCCGAAGCCCGAATCCGCAATTTCCGTGCCAGCATTCTGCCTCCAAGCCAGCCGTGGACTGCAGCTCGAAGCTTTGCTGGGTTGCTGTTGAATGGAATGTAATTTAAGTTGTCATATTACGTAGGGTTTATGGTGTACGTAGGGGTTCGAGTTATCAGAATATATGGGTTATAGTATTGATTAGGGTTTAGCGGTTATAGGGCTTAGGGTTTTGCATGGCTTTGCTGTTAAGGAACTTAAATTAAGTTACCAGAATCTGGATACATAGTAATAAGGAATGCAAGGGTTTCCTGATTATAGTACTTTAATTTACTTTCCGTAACAGCAACCCAGTTTATTGCGGGCCTTGTGCTTGGTCAACCAACGGAGCGCCTGCCCCTGCATCTTGGCAGCAGCCCGCTGCGAGCGATACACCTTGCGGCGCTTTCCGTCAAGACCATGGCGCTCCAGCTGCTCCTGCAAGCTCATTTCCAAACATTGGATGGTGGCTCTGCACTTATGTTTCCTGACCAGCACTGTCTTCAAGCCCCACCACTCCCGCACGCCGTCCCAGAAGCCCTCTTGGACTTCTGTCGTGCGGAACGGGTTTCTGGCGCTTTGCAATGTGAAGCCACACACCCTAAAAGGACCCGGCGACATAACATGAGCTATAGTCTACACTCCTACTCCTGGCAGTCCCCTATACAATCCCCTAGACAACTACCTTTAAGGAGTTTAGATTATGGCTCACATAACGATTTACATTTCCAAGCTGCAACATACCCAAGCTGCGAATCTCTCCAGCCCTTGGGTCCTGAAGTCGTGGATCCTAAGCCCAAACCCTACATCCCACTCTAACTGGTACTTCAAAGGCACCCAGACCTGGTTTGTGAATATATACGTTCTTGTATACAACAAGACAGGTAACAACTTCAAAGTGCCGTAGGCCCCCAACAGACACCGCTGCGAGCACCTCAACAAAGCGCTCTTCTTCAGTGACAACCAACATAATGATACAAGCCGCTTAAGGAAGTTCTGAGGGTAGGGTTCAGGAGTCCCCGTGGAGACTCTAGGGATACACAAGGTTTACCTGGAGGGTGGCTACTGATTAGGGATGACAAGGTCAGCTCAATGAAGCACCCGCGCGATAACGTTGGCAGAAGGGAAACAATTGTGCACCAGGGAGGGCAATGCCACTCAAGCACTTAGCCCCAACAGGCCTGTCCCGAATTCCCTGAAATCAGAACCCCCGAAAACCCCGGACCCGAAGAACCCTAAACCCCTAAACCCCCCTACTCCCGAAAAAAATCTTGCACCCTGAGAAAAAGGCCTTCAACTCGTCAGTTGTTTGTGGCAATACTTGGCCAACAAGGTGTGGCGGTATTTCAGGTTCCAACTCCACCAAGACCTGTCACAATTTGGGGTTTTAGGTTAAGGGGTCTAGGCTCATGAGGCTCAGAGTTTAACGCATACAGTAAGGGCTTCGGGGTCTAGAGCTTCATGTCTAGAGTTTAGGGGCTATAGTATATATAAAGCGCTTTCGAGAGCAAGTAGAGGTTTAAGGTTTAGAGTGTAGGGCTGGG